GTCGCGTCTCAGTGTCCTGATAATTTAATTGCTGCAAGCACCTCTGAGGGAAAGCCGCCCTCAAGGTCCGAGTTCTGCCCGCTGCCAGACAGTCCAGTTTCTCCCCGTATGCGTCCTGGGTCCCCAGAGACTTCCCGGAACCGGAGTTCAGAGCAGTTGGGAGCTTGTGACTCCCTCCCCAGCCGCGTCCTCAGGTACCAGCCCCCTTCCGCGCACGCGAACCTACTACGTACCTCTGCACTTTACTTCCACAGCTCCTGACCCTCAATGTGCTTTTCTCTTTTCTTCTAGTTGTAGAATTTCCACTCCACCAGCCTTCCTGTAGTTCTGGATGTTGACCGTCCTGTCCTTTTATTGCGTTTCTGAAGTTGTTGTAGGAGGCAGCAATCTCGGTGTTCCCCTATGCTGCCATCTTAGTTTTTCCTTCTCATTAGGTTTCATTTGACAAAATCTGATAGCAGGACTCAGGTTTTTTTAGTTTTAAAGATTATATAATGCTTTTGCTCAGTCATCCTATCCCAATGGTCATAGTTTAGTTGCTCTAGTTGGCAGTTCATTTCAAACAGTCCTGTGGTTCTGCTTGCAGTTAAAAAAATTTTTTTTTATTGATTTCAGAGAAGAAGGGAGAGGGAGAGAGGGAGAGAGAGAAAGAAACTGAATGATGAGAGAGAATCATTGACTGGCTGCCTCCTGCACCCCTTATCCCACACTGCGGATCAAGCCTGCAGCCCAGGCACGTGCCCTGACTGGGAATCCAACCGTGACCTTCTGGTTTATAGGTCGACGTTCAATCACTGAGCCATGCTAGCCAGGCTGCTTACACAGTTTGTTTGCTTATTGCACTTAAAGATATTCACCACAAAGGAATAGATGAAGAGTCCTTACAAATTGGCCCCAGTTCACTAAACAAAACATTTGTTAAATTGAGGAGGCCCCACACATGGTATTTCACAGTGATATTTATGTAACCACCTGGGCCTAAACAAAGTTAAATTGCATAATAGGTGGATCTGTACTGTGGACATAAAGAAAAAGCTTTAAGCTAGATATCCAAGATATTTTGGCTAAGTCTTTTGATTTTGCTAATCTTTATAGAAGAAGATTGTTTATTGAGTAGGTTGGGAAAAAAAGAAAAAAATGCATAAAACTGAACAAATGTAGTGGTATTTTTAATAGCATAGAAGATAATGGTAGTCATAAAGATGATGGTAATTTGTGTTCCTAGAGCACACTGTTTTGAAAAATGTTTTTGCTATTGAATATTTTTCTAGGTCATACTGTTGATCAAGTGGCATTTTCCAAAAATGACAGTATAGAATGTTAGTTTTGGATGGTGTTTTAATAAAATGTCGGCTGGCCAGTTTTACAGAGATAAGTTTTTTAAAAAATATTTAAAATAATTTTTATTTATCAATTACAGTTGACACGTTATATTAGTTTTCGGTATACACTCCAGTGATTTAGACATTATATAACTTACTAAATAATCATCCCAATAAATTTAATACCCATCTGACACCATACATAATTATTAGAATATTATTGACTATACTAGAGGCCTGATGCACGAAGATTCGTGCAAGAATGGGCCTTCCTTCCCCTGGCTGCTGGCACTGCTGTCGCTCTGACCCGGAGCCACCTTTCTGCCTTCCCACGCTCCCCAGAGGCCCGGAGCAGCTGGGGGCAGTGTGGAACGCCTGCTCCGGCCACTCAGTGCCTGTGTATGCAAATTAACCCACCATCTTTGTTGGGTTGATTTGCATACTCCTAACTGGTTGGTGGGCATCGCAAAGGTACGGTCAATTTGCATCTCTCTCTTTTATTAGTGTAGATTCCCTGTGCTGTACTTTACATCCTGATGACTATTCTGTAACAACCAATTTTTACTTCTTAGTCCCCTCACTCTTTTCACCCGTCCCTCCAACCCCCTCCCATCTGGCAGCCTTCAAAATGTTCTCTTTATCTATGAGTCTGTTTCTGTTCTGCTTATTTATTTTGTTCTGTTTTTTAGATTAATTTGTTGATAGATACATATTTATTTATATTTTTTTTCCTTTTTCTTCTTAAAGGAGACCCTTTAACATTTCATGTCATATAATACTGGTTTGATGGTAATGAACGCCTTTAGCTTTTTCTTGTCTGTAAAGCTCTTTATATGTCCTTCAATTCTAAATGATAGCTTTGCTGGGTAAAGTGATATTTTTTTTTCTTTCTTGTTGATAGATATGTATTTATTGCCTTTTTATTGCTCATTTTTTTTTAAATCTTTTTCTTCTTTTTCAAGAATACCCTTCAACATTTCATGTAATACTGGCTTGGTGGTGATGGTACTCCTTTAGCTTTTTCTTGTCTGTGAAGTTCTTTATCTGCACTTCAATTCTAAATGAGAGCTTTGCTGGGCAGAATAATTTTGGTTGTAAGTCCTTGCTTTTCATCACTTTGAATATTTCTTGCCACTCCCTTCTGGCCTGCATAGTTTCTTTTGAGAAATCAGCTGACAGTCAAATGGGTAGGTAACTAACTGCTTTTCTCTGGCTGCTTTTAAGATTCTTTGTCTTTTGCCCTTGGCATTTTAATTATGATGTGTCTTGGTGTTGGTTTGTTTGGGTTCCTCTTTCTTGGTACTCTCTGTGCTTCCTGGACTTGTGCCAGTAAGTCTTTTTCTTTCACCAGTTAGGGGAAGTTTTTTGTCATTATTTCTTCAAATAGGTTTTCAATATCTTGCTTTCTCTCTTTTTCTGGCACCACCATAATACAAATGTTGGTACACTTGAAGTTGTCCCAGAGGCTCTGTTGGGGTCCAGCCCCAGCAGGTCCAGGGGTTCCCAAAGGTGTGGACAGAGTCGGCGAAGAAGGAATGACACGGAGGCAGCATTCAAGTGATCAGCATAGTTGGGTTCTCTCCAGGTTCTCCAGCCAGGTTCTGTAGCCAGGTTCTGTAGCCACGTTCTGTAGCCAGGTTCTCCAGCCAAGTTCTGTCTCTAGGTTCTCCAGCCAGGTTCTGTAGCCAGGTTCTCTAGCCAGGTTCTGTCTCTAGGTTCTCCAGCTAGGTTCTTTCTAGAGCAGGGGTTCTCAAACTATGGCCCCGCAGGCCACATGCAAATATAAACTATAGTCTGGCCCGCCAATGGTCTGAGGGACAGTGAACTGGCCCCCTGTTTAAAAAGTTTGAGGACCCCTGGTCTAGAGTGATATTTGTTATAGGTCTTTGCTTTTCATCACCTTGAATATTACTTGCCATTCCCTTCTGGCTTGCAAAGTTTCTGTTGAGAAATCAGCTGACAATCTTATGGGAGCTCCCTTGAAGATATACTAAAGGCCCAGTGCACGAAATTTGTGCACTCGGGGGGGGAGGGGTGTCCCTCAGCCTGGCCTGCCCCCTCTTGCAGTCTGGGAGCCCTTGCTCCTTACCACCCACCTACTTGCTGCTCTTTACCGCTCTGCTTGCTGTTCTTTAGCACTGCCACAGTGGCGGTAGAGGCTCCACCACTGCTGCTGTGCTCACCAGCTGTGAGCCTGGCTTCTGGCTGAGCGGTGCTCCCCTTGTGGGAGCGCACTGAACACCAGGGGACAGCTCCTGCATTGAGTGTCTGCCCCCTGATGGTCATTGCACATCATAGTGACTGGTCATTCTGCCGTTCGGTCAATTTGCATATTAGCATTTTATTATATAGGATAAGTCTGTTCTCTTGCTGTTTTTAAGATTCTCTCTTTGTCTTTAACCTTTTGCATTTCAATTATTTTGTGTCTTGGAGAGGCCTCTTTGGGTTCATCTTATTTGGGACTCTCTTCACTTCCTGGACTTGTATGTCTATTTCCTTCACTAGCTTAAGGAAGTTTTCTGTCATTATATTTTCAAATAGGTTTTCAATTTCTTGCTCTTTCTCTTCTCCTTCTGGCACCCCCATGATGTCAATGTCAGTATGCTTGAAGTTGTCCTAGAGTTTCCTTACACTATCTTCATATTTTTGGATTCCGTTTTCTTTTTGTTGTTCTGATTGGGTGATTTTTTGCATCCTTATATTCAAAATCCCTGATTTGATTCTTGGCTTTGTCTACTCTACTGTTGAGTCCCTTTAAATTATTCTTTATTTCAGTTAGTATATCCTTCATTTCTGACTGGCTCTTTTTTATGGTTTTCATGTCCTTTTTTATGCTGTTGAAGTACTCTCTAAGTTCAACTAGTTTTGCCCTAAATTTTTTGATTATCCTTATAACCATTGCTTTGAACTCTGTATCTGGTACTTTGCTTGCTTTTAGTTCTTTTTCTGGAGATTTCTTCTGTTCTTTCATTTGGGACATGTTTCTTTGTCTTCTCATTTTGGCATCCTCCCTGTGTTTGTTTCTGTGTATTAGGTAGAGCTGCTATGTCTCCCAAGCTTGGTAGAGTGTCCTGTAGGGTTCAGTGGCACAGCCTCTCTGTTCATCTGAGCTAGGCACTCCAGTTGCATCCCCTACCCTCGGTGGGATATGTACACCCTCCTGTTGTAGTTGAGCTTTGATTACTGTTGGCACCTCAATGGGAGGGATTTATCCTTCAGGCCAATCTGCTGCAAGGACTGGCTGTGACTGTGACTATGGCCACTGGGAAGGATTCCATAGATAAGTTTTCACATTTTGTTTTCAAATGAGTAAGGTGGTATGGTTAGGCAGAAATTATAGGTCCTGAGGTTACCTCTGTAGATGACTCTGTAGATGGACAACCCTAATCATAAACCAAAATCATAAACCACCCCAAATTTTGCAAATTTATTTTGAACTTATTTCCTGAAACCACATTATATTTAATCTATAGACCTACTAACTTGAACTTTTTTGTACATAGCTTGCAAGTTTTAAGTAGAGATATTTTTGAAAGGTTCATTAATACTGAATTAACACAAACTTTGAAAAGATAGTCTTTGTTTCTATGTGAATTTTAAAAGTGACCTGAAATATATTAAAAGTTATAAAAATAGAATTAGTGATTTTTTAAAAGGCAATTTAATACATTACATTTGCTTTTTCTTTAGTGCTAAAATAGTGGTTCATCTTCACCCAGCTCCTCCTAACAAAGAGCTTGGTCCATTACAGAGTAGTAAGAACTCTTACATCAAACTCTCCTTCAAAGAACATGGCCAGATTGAGGTAAGTATATGAGTAAAATTGGGCCATAAATGTGTGCTTGCATATATTTTTGTTGTTTGTTAATAGGATGGGAGGCAGTATTGTTTCCATATAGTTAATATGATGTAGGCAACATAGGTTTCACCACATGTTTATAACATTTTTGATAGCTTATGTCTTATCAATAAAGAATAGAAGTTTAGGTGACAGCGGGAACAAGAAGCAGGAGTGTGTGGTCACAAGGAAAGAGTAGAGGCTAAGTCATGCCATTAGGCTACTAGTGAAGTTTTCAGTGGTATATGTAGTCCAACTGAAGGCAGTTTATGAACTCCAACAAATCTAATCACTTGAGTGGTTCTTTTTTTACATATAAGCACTAGTCCCTTTCCATTTCTGAGCTATTCTGTTCCTGTGCCAATACCATATTATGTTAACACCACATTGTCATAATCCCTATAGCTTCAGAATTATGAGATTTTCAATTTCTCCACAATAATCTCTATTTTTTGTTAGTGTCCTGTCGTTATTAGCCCTTTATTCTTACATATTAATTTTAGAATATAGTTTATATGTTCTAATTAATAAATTGCTATATAAATATTTTTAGACATTTATAAGTGTGTTTTTATCTTCCCATTGATTTCATAACTTATTTATGTTCTTTTTCAATGGCTTTGCACCCAATGCTTTTCACAACAATAGGCACTAAGTAAATATAAGTCACTAACTGAAGTCAATCTCACTGTAGGTGAAAAATATAGTTGATTTTTTTGTGAGCAGAGGCACACAATTTCTGACTACACGTTTTAACTAGACAAATTATTCTTAACTTTCTTCATGGTTAATGGTTGTATATTTTTCTTGGCACTGTGTCTGTTTCACTATAAGTTGAAAACAATCCACATAGGCAGAATTGTTTAAAGTAAGTCTATTTATTTCATTGTCACTCATCTCTTTGTTGAAGTAGCTCGCTTTATATAGAAGGTCAGTTCCTTCTTTTTTTTCTTTATTCTTTCTGAAGTTGATCCAAGAAGAGAACTTCCTTTGATTTTCTTTGATGTCTCTGAGAACTCTAGGCTTGTTGCAAATGATTGACTAGACCTTTCAACTAAAGAATTGTTAAGCAATTAATTCAATGAGGATGCCACAACCTGACTGACTCATTTAAAGTGTATCTATGTGTATAACAGTTTTATAGGCGTTTATCAGAGGAAATGACACAGAGAAGATGGGAGAATATGCCAGTTTCCCAGTCATTCCAAACAAATAGAGGACCACAGGTATTTTTAAAACTGTTTCTTAATCTAGTGTTTTCAACTCTGTACTTGGATCTTTATTAAGTAATAAGATTCTGTGATTATAGAACTTTCCAGAAACAAAATAATGATATTTGATTAAAAATTTATTTTCATAGAACCTAACTTAGTGCTCATAGACAGTAAGCACTTAGTAAAAAATAATTACTACTTACCAAAGTAATTCCTGGAGTGGTAGAAGTTAGATTCCACTGACTTCATCCTGTTGTTCATAATCCATGTGGCATCTAAGAGAACTGACATTAAATACTACTGGTGACATTTTCCAGGCCAGTCTAAATTAACCAGCAACTATGAACAGATGCTTATATGTGTAAAAGCAATTTGTACAATAACTATCCAGTACCAAAACTTTTAACTATTTTTTGAGACCCTATTAAGTATCTGATACATACATAATAGGTTGCCAAAGAACAAAAATGGATAGGAAATTTAATTTATATCTGAAATGAAAAGTAAAATATGCCATTTATTGTATCTTCGGTGCTTCTTAAGAATGATTTGAAGATTGTCAGATACAGCAAGAAACTGACCAATGTTTTGAAAGGAAACTAGATGGAGTTGTATGCTGTTTTTCTTTGGTTCTTTGTGGTCCTTTCCCGTCATTGAAAACACAGTGTGGTGGGTTACAAAAGATTGTGTCCTTCCTATTGTGTATGTTTTATTTTCTACTTTTGATTTTCAGCCAGGAAGAATAAGGGCTGTAGGAATTGTAGGTATTGAAAGGAAACTGGAAGAAAAAAGAAAAGAAACTGACAAAAACATTTCTGAGGTAATTCTTACACAAGTTCCGGTCATCTGTCTTTTTCAGCCATGTGTGTTTATTATTTTGGATAAAACTGACTAATTCCATTCTGTATATTGGAATATTTATTGGAATATTCAGTTTGTCTGAAGCTATACAGTATCTTATTCCATTTAACATGTCCACTTCAGGTTGGCAAAATTTAGCCAAAACGTGTTTTGAAAACTATTTCTTTGAATAACAAAGAAATGCAAATCTGATTTTTGTGATGTTAGAAAATATCATGGAATATTGTGTGTAAATTTTAAAATCTAGATGAAATCAATTGGTGGATACTCTTAATGAATTCAAAGTCCACTTTAAAATTATTTTGGTTAACTTAATTGAGGGGAAAATGCTATTCTGTGGCCCTTAACCCTGGTCAGACTGCACATAATATAATGCTCATAATCACTCAGGGACCAGACACAGAAACAGTTAGGAATGGATCAAACCAGTCCATCATCTAACAGTGGTTCTCAACCTTCTGGCCCTTTAAATACAGTTCCTCATGTTGTGACCCAACCATAAAATTATTTTCGTTGCTACTTCATAACTGTAGTGTTGCTACTGTTATGAATTGTAATGTAAATATCTGATATGCAGGATGGTCTTAGGTGACCCCTGTGAAAGGGTCGTTTGACCGCCAAAGGGGTCGCAACCTATAGGTTGAGAACCGCTGACAAGGAGAACAGCCCTTAGTATTACATTAGAATGTTTCTGAAACTTTATATGAGAAAATTCAAGCAAAGGGAACAGAACTGTGGTCAAGAAAACCAGTTATGCATCCAGAGACTTATTTAGACTCATGTTTGATCCTTTTGGTAAGAGTAGAGGTCTGTGTTCTTTCATCAGGAGGCACATCATGTCTCTTTTTAAAAAATATATTTTATTGATTTCAGAGAGTATGGGAAAGGGAGAGAGATAGAAACATCAATCAATGATCAGAGAATCATTGATCAGCTGCCTCCTGCATACACCCTACTGGGGATCGAGCCTGCAACCCCAGCATGTGCCCTGACTGGAATCAAACCTGACCTTTGGTTAATAGGTCGACACTCAACCACTGAGCGACACCGGCCGGGCAATGTCTCTTTTTATGATGTGAGCAGATGTTAATGTTCAGTGCATAAATCTATCGGTTTATTGGTGGTTGCAAATGGTGATAGTCAATGATTTATTTTTCATTTATTAGTTGGAATACTCTCTAAAGAGATACTTCCCTTCATTTACTATTTAGCTACTCAGTGATATAGTTCATATAGGGAAGGCAAGGATAAGGGTTTTTTCCTCTCCTTTATTCTCAGGATAGTAAAGTGGTTCCTTATCCTCCAAAGGTGATTAAATAGGTTATCTTTTTTTACATATTACTATGAATTCATAAATTTTAACATATTTGATAAATTACAATTATTATTCTATTTAAAGCTCAAATTGTCTCACCTTTGGCCAGTGGTAGCCTCTTCAGGTTGGCTCTTGAGTGCTTTTGAGGTGACTTGGTGGACTTTGATAGCTTACTTACAATCTTGTGCGACAGTAGTTCCAGGACCATCTTGAACATAGCCTGCCCCAGATATAGAATCAACCACACCTGAGAAGCTCTGCTAGTCTTTAATAGGAAATGGCTATTTCAAAACCACAGTCTACCTGTTAAGAATATGCATCTATATTGGAGAGATCTTTATTTCTAGGTCTTTTCAGTGGAAAGAGCTAGGTTTTTTTTTTTAATAAAATTGCTTCATGAGTTCATACTGATACTTCCTATTCAAATTTAGGACTACACTAGCAAGTACTTATTAAAAAAGTTAAAAAGAATTTTTTTTTGTATGTGTTCTTTCCATGCTTTAAGAACAGGTGTGCTGCATCTACGCTATCTGACCATTCTGCCACTATATATACACTATTTCCCCTCTAGCTCTCATTTCGTCACAGTTTTGTAAGTAACTATTTGTGTAATGCTACCAGTACTTATGCTGATCTCCCTCTATTCATTTGGATTGTCTGAAGTTCATTCTCTAATAAATTTTTAAGGAAGTGTTCATGGGAACAGTATTCCCTGAGTTCTGGCATGTTTGTATTCCTTAAATGCATAAGTCAGTTTTGGTGGATTTAAAATCCTTGTCTCATATTTTCTTTCCTTGAGTGCCTTCAATATGTTACTTTTATTTATTTATTTATTTTTGATGAGGGAGAATCATTTATTGGCTGCCTCCTGCCCACTCCCTACTGGGGTGGCGGGAATTGAGCCCAAAACCCAGGCATGTGTCCTTGGCTGAAATCGAACCTGGGACCCTTTAGTGCACAGGCCAACGCTCTATCCACTGAGCCAAACCAGCTAGGGCCTAAATCGACTTTTTAGCAGCAAGGGGCCCTAAAGCAGGTGGAGGGTGTGCATCTGGAGTATTTCCCTGTCCTTGGCTGGGTAGAGTCCCTTTTGTGCAGGCTAGCTAGGTCTGCTTGAAGCCAGGAATTTCTATCAGCTCTGACCTGAGAAGAAAGCACCAGCCATGTTCCCAGGAATGTAGGGGGATGTCTCCTCCCCACAGCCAGCCACTGACATTCCTGAGACAGCTGCTCCCTGAGGCTGCTGCCTCCTCAGCTGGGTTTTTGGTACAGGGTGGAGCAAACTGGGTTACCTACTTTTAATTTATTGTCTGGTGTGAAGTGTTGCTGCTAAAGAGTGATGCTCTTCTAATTTTTTCACCCCTTAAAAGTCACTTGCTGTTTTTCCTAGATACCCGAAGGATTTTTTTTTTAAATAAAGCCTAGTAATTTTACTGGATTGTGTCTATGTGTTTACTAGAATGTGTTACTCATTCTTGGTTGTTATCCAATACTAGAAGCCTGGTGCACGGATTAATGCATGGGCTGGGTCCCTTGGGGTGGCCTGTGGGGATCCGGCCCCAGCTCACGCCCCTAGGCTCACAGCCCTGCAGTCCCGCCTGGCACCCCACCTTGGCCTGGTGCCGCCCCCTCACCTCCACCATCCCACCAGTGGGGTGATCGATCAGGGCTGGGCCCCCCGCCCGGCTCCCTCAGCACCTGGGAACTGGGTGGCAGCCCCGCCCTCCGCTGCCACTGGTCACTGTCTACAGGGTGATTGGTGGGGCAATCAGGCCCCTGCTTGCACCCGCCTTGGCCTGGCACTGCCTACTCACCTGTTCCACCATCCCTCTGTGGTCCCGCTCTCATCAGGGCCTATTTGGGCTGGCAGTGCCTCCACTGCTGTCCACTGCCAGCACCGCGTTGCCAACGCCTGCCATGATCTGTGCCGCCCCATGGTGGTCAGCGCACATCATAGTGAGTGGCTGAACGACCGCCCAATGGAGTCAATTTGCATATTAGGCTTTTATTATATAGGATGCTTTCAGTATTTGGTTTCAGAAGTTTTTTCTTTTAATTTCAGGGAAGTTTTTCTATGTTGTAATTTTCTTTCTTTCTATTTATTTATATTTATTTAATTTTAAAAATTGTGGTGTTTTGTTTTGAGTCCTCTTAGTTGTATTTGTAGCTTTATCGCCTATATTTACTTGTTGTGACTTCCAAACCCCTTTTATCTCTTTCTTCATTTCTTTTTTATTTAGAAAACGTTCCTTTTTTTCACCTTCTCTTAAGATATCTGTTGTGTCCATTTACTGGTGTTCTGTCTAGTGTAGTCTTTATTTCAGAAATGATCAAAAAAATTCTTTCCTGAATCTTGTCACTTTATTTCTGATTTATATTGTCCTTTCATAGCCTGTGTCATTTTTTAAAACATCTTTTAGCTCATCCTATATAATAAAAGTTTAATATGCTAAGTGTCTGGTTGTCTGTTCAACCAATCAAAACGTAATATGCTAATGATATGCTAATGCTCCTCAACCACTCGCTATGACATGCACTAACCACCAGGGGGCAGATGCTTTGACCAGTAGGTTAGCTTGCTGCTGGGATCTGGACAGTTGGGACTGAGTGGGATGGGCCAGACACACCCTGGAGCCCTCCCATGGCCCCTCCCTGGCTAGCCAACCTCCCGCATCCCTCCCAGCCTCGATTGCACCGGTGGGGTCCTTCGGCCTGGCGTGCACCCTCTCACAATCTGGGGCCCCTCGGAGAATGTCGGAGAGCTGGTTTTGGCCGGATCTTGCTCAGCGCAGGAGCTGTCCCCTGGTGGTCAGTGCGCTCCCATAGGGGGAGCGCCGCTCAGCCAGAAGCCGGGCTCATGGCTGGTGAGCGCAGCGGCAGTGGCGGGAGCCTCTCCTGCCTCTGCAGCAGTGCTAAGGATGTCTGACTGCTGGCTCCCAGTCGGACATTCTCTGAGAGCTCCCGGACTGTGAGAGGGGGCAGGCCGGGCTGAGGGACCCCTCATCCCCAAGTGTACGAATTTTGTGTACCGGGCCTCTAGTTTGAAATAAAAGGTTACATTTCGATCTGATCTGTGAACATGTCTTTCTGGCATGCTTTCAGTGTCTGTAATGTTATTCTCCTTATTTTTCTCTTTTTAATTTTGTGTGGGATTTGACCTTGATACTTTGCTGTTGCTCATTTTCATGTGAAATCCATTTTCTTGAACTTTTAGAGCAAGAGCTAATTCAGGGTAGCTTTTCTCACTCCACAGAGCTCACTCTCCTGCTGTGTTCATACAGTGTTAAAAAGGTGGTGGCTGCTTTCTGTGATTTCCTGGCCCTGTTTCCATCCTATTTTTATCTGAACCTTTTTTCTCTTTCTCTCTGTTATCCCTACCTTGCTGAATTTTTGAGTCCTCTCTCAATTGTTTCTCCCCAGTGTGGGATCCTGTCCTGGAAGAGAAGCCTGAAGGGTCAGTTTCATGAGTTCATAGGCTCTGTCAGCCATTCCTGAGGACCTCTGTACCCACCCAGTATTGAAGGGGCCAAGCCCTTCCAGTGTGTTACTGTCCTCAGGGTGGTCCATCTCACTTTCCAGTGACCAGCTGTGGCATCTTTTGGAGTTATATGATTTTAGATCTACCAGTTGCCCTGGTGCCTCCCTTTTCTTTCCGCTATCTAGATGCAGGTCTTGTGGCTCTTGGTGTTTTTGTGGATATCTTGTCACTTAGTTTTGTAGTATATGTTGTCTGTGGTTTTGAAATATAGTTGCCCCGTCTGTTTTTATGTTGGGAATTGGAGAGATTAAAAGACTATATTGTCATAGCCACCATCTTCCTGGAATCTTTTATTCCCATAAAATTTCAGCATTTTTGCATTAGAGGGGTTCTTACTATGCAGGGAAGTGATCGTTTCAGAGCTAGTGACTAGATTTGAAACCAGGGTTATGAGAACTCAGGTCTTTTGATTTGCAGGCAAGTATAGTCCACTACATCATGGCCATTCTCTTTGCCACCCAAAAGGTGCTATCGCTGTCCTTTTCCAGTGACTTTTGTTGTCATCTCTTTTGTGTGACACTTTTGGAGATGGCATCAAGCAATAAATTAAATTTGCATTATTAGTGTTCATTTTTCTGAACGATACCATACTGCTTTAGTGTTCAAAATATTGTTATTCTTAATTTATGAAATATTACTGTGTTTCAATCTAATTTTCACAGTTGCATTACTCAGAGTATTCTACACAAGCATTGTGCTCTCTCATGCAGGTCACTGATTTATTCAGTAGATAGTCCCTATTCTCTCCTTTGAGTGAGCCCTGCATCAGATGTTGTAGGTATTGCAGTGGTGTGCCAAGTAGGCAGGCAGACTGGCTTTCTCTAAATGTGAGAAATATGTTAGAAGAAAATAGTGTCTGCAACAGGAAGGCATAACGGGCCCTCTTCTGTTGGAGTCAGGGAAAGCTTGTTAGCAGAAGTAATGGAAGTCAAGGCCTGAAAGTTGAGCAGCTGCCAGCAGATGACCAGTAGGGATAAGAGGATCCAGGTAGAGGGAAAGGAATATGAGAAGGTACAGAATTAAGAATATTGAAACAGAAAATTAAGGAATATATTAATAGTTACAGAAACTAATGACCAAAGTAATGACTGAAAGTCAGTAAGAAATAATGCTACAAATTGGCTTAAGAGGGTACCTTTAGGCTTTAAGGTAGATGCCACATTTTTTCAAAATTGGAACGGAAATTTGATTGTGGACATGGTAGAGGGATAGTAGGTTCTATAAGTTGGCAAATGAAATAAAAGAATGAGCACGTGCACCTATTTTGCATTTTTACCTGTATTGCTTTAAGTTTATTGTAGGTAGTTTCTCCACCCATTTTTTTGGATAGTTGGCTAATTTCAAATTTTAGAATAATAGAAATATAAATGAGGAAGCTTTTGTTTGTGTTTTATAATTATTGAAATTATTTTATAGGAAATTCTTCTATAAATATAAAATATTTATATTTGTATTTTATGAACCATAAGAAATAAGGGCTAATCTACGTATTTTGTGTGAATTCACTATTTTAGCATTTTCAAATGAAAATATAATATAGTAAATAAAGTGATTTATCATAAAAAGTTTAAAAGTATTGTTATCCTAGCTTCTCTTAATTTTCTTTCAATATTCAAAATAAAAACCTAGGTATGTAAAGTGTGAGTGTGTTTTATTTTTGAACACTGGGTTGGTGGGTGATTTGCCCTCCATTTAAGTGTTAGGATTGACTAAGTTTCAGAGCTTGTGCCCACAGTTTCCCACAGAAGGTTTCCTGCATCTGCTGGCTGTTGCTGATAAGAATCCAGTGTTTAAGCCTTTTGTTTATCTGAGGAAATTCCTGTTAGGTGTGTGCACATTCCCCTTTGTTTTCAGTATTAGCTTTAGTGAACTGGCCATAAGAGTCCTACACAACACTTATTTTAGCAAAGTCCTTTTGCAGATGCGGAATGCTTTCCTGCAAATAATTAACATGGGAATGAGCTAATCAGAACTTATTGATTACTATTCTATGTGAACCAGAAGATTTTCAAATAATGATATATTGCTTAATTGATTTTTAAAAAATAACATTTGTGTACATTAATTAGACAAAAGGTATTCTACACTGGAAGTATATTTTTGGTAATTTGTAACATTTATTATAAATATGTCTAATTAAATTTGAAAAGACCTTTAAAGTGTATATTCATTGTAATAAATTAAACAAAGTTTTTATTTAGATATGTTTTTGTGGTATTTGAATGTTTTTCTTTTGTGATATTCACTATATCCAAAACCACAGGTATAATATGTTCAGTATTCAGAGGCTGAGATTTATGGTTTCAGTTAAATCACGCCTGCTATTAAAGCCAAAATTGTTATGCCCAAAGTATTCCTGCAGCTGCATATTGCCGTTTTCAACCAGGAAAGCTTTACAATGCCTCTTATCAGGAAATGGTTTTGGGAAAAGATAGTGACAAATTTTCTTATGTGTGTTAAAGAACAGTAAATAATATTTTCTGAACTATCACTTATGTCACCCTTTGTTTTTTTAATCACCTTTTAACTCTTTGGAATTTTGAAAAGTTGTTTTTGCAAGTTTTTTTAGGAAAATTTATGGTTTCTTAGCTAATCTGACTTAGAATAAGGTAGATTTATCACTTGTATAAATATTTATATAAAACTTTGAGGAAAAATTCATATATTTTTATCATAGGGAAGAAAATAGAGTGCTTTCATTGCTTTAAAACATTTTGATTCTTTAGACAGATTCTAACAAAACTAATTTCTCATTTCAGGCCTTTGAAGACCTCAGCAAGCTAATGGTCAAGGTATATGTCATTTATATGTATTAAATTCACACCAATTATGATGCAGTTTTGAAAATATATTTTGTTAGCAGACTCTTTGGGGACAGTTCTTTCTTTTCACTCTTTTACTGTGCTCTTGACAGGCTAAAGAAATGGTGGAGTTATCAAAATCAATTGCTAATAAGATTAAAGACAAGCAAGGTGACATCACAGAAGATGAGGTAAATAGGCTGCTTTTTAAGGCATGAGAAACTACAGAAATAATGTAGTGATGTTTTAGTGGCTTACTAGATTGCTTTTTTAATGTACTGTTTTATTTCTTTTAGAACTTGAGGACATATGAAAGTGCTAAAAAAAGTCAGCCATAAAAACTGTTAATTTTAGTGAGATTATAGGATATTTCAGTAGCTTTGCCTTCAGTGTATAAGACATATATTGAAATATGTAAGGAATGTCTATTTTATATATCATAAGTTTCATGTCTGTTTCACTAAATTTGTCTACAGTCTGGTCAAGCCATTTTTCTAAGTTCTCAGTTGTATCATTTAGTTGGCATTAACCATAGTATAGTTATTTAAATCACTTCTCACACCAAACTTGTGAAGTAAAGGGAGTGTGAGATAGCAAGATGGAAGGAAGGATAATTAGATTTATGCAGGGAACTATGATAAGTAATTGAGTAGAATTGAATTTATGATGGAAGGATTTCAAATGTTGGGAGAGAATAATTTTGAATTGTCTTTTTGTGCACTTTCTCTTCTTATAGACCATCCGGTTTAAATCCTATTTGCTGAGCATGGGAATAGCTAACCCAGTTACCAGGGAAACCTACGGCTCAGGCACACAGTACCATATGCAGCTGGCTAAACAGCTGGCTGGAATATTGCAGGCACCTTTAGAGGTAAAAACAAAACCTACATGGTCTTTTTAATTTGTGTTGTTATTTCGGTGTAATCAGAAATCTTAAGAGCATAACTCCTTTCATGATGTGGTTACTGTTTAACCATGTTTTTTTTTTTTCTCTCTCAGGAATATTAAATTAGTTCAGTGTACTTATTAATGGATTCTTTGTCAGTAATCTTCTAAATTGTTTTTAATTTTCACTTAAGATATCTATAGCTTTCTAAATCTAGTTGATATGAAGTTTTTCTTATCTCTTATTTTCAAAAGGAAATATATGATTTCTATATATTTAGCTATTTTTGTATATCAGTAGTCAATATACAGGGTGGGGCAAAAGTAGGTTTATAGTTTGTATGGCAAATAATACAATAATTAACAAATAATAATACAGGAATAAACTGTTTCACATACAGCTACCTACTTTTGCCCCACTCTGTATATGTACTATTAATTTCATAAGATTTCTCTTCTAGTCTAACATTATTCAGGCAATCAAAACTTTACTTATTAAAGCAGTTGCATTAAGAAATATTTCAAACATGAACAAATAGACTAGTATAATGAATCCTTATGTGCCTATCATCTAGCTTCTTCTGTAAGCCAACCTCCACTCTGAATTACTATAAAGCGAATCCCTGATATCACAGCACTTTTATCTGTAAATATTTAAGTATGTAATTATGATAATAAACCTTGAAATGTAATTATAACCCCATTTTACACCTGAAAAGTTAAAAATAAATTTTTAATATTATTAAATATCTAGTTACTTTTCACATTTTCTCTTACAAATGGTGTTTCAGATCAGAACATATTGCAATTGGTTGATTTGTCTCTCAAGTTTTTTTTAATTCCATGGGTTTTCTTTTCTTCTATCCCTCCCCCCAATTTATTGATTAGAGAAATTAATAGTTATCTGATAGACTGTCTCAGTCTGGATTTTGTTGACTTGTATGTTAACATCATTCCCTGTAAACTGGTAGTTATATCTAGAAGTTCTTTTTTTTCTGATAATATTTCATAGAGGTTGTGTATTTTCATCAGGAGGTACATAATGTCTGATTTGTCTTTTCTTTATGATGTTAGCAGCCATTGACAGTCATTACCCTCATTATTACTTCACTAGAGGCCCAGTGCACAAACTTTGTGCACTCAGGGTGTGTGTGGGACGGGTGTCCCTCAGCCCAGCCTGTGCTCTCTCACAGTCTAGGAGCCCCGCAATCAGTCGACCCCACAGAGGGAGGCCCCACCCACCTGCTGCAGTGCTGCCTCCGGGTAGCCTGGGCCTCCCTCTTTGGCGTGATCGATCGCGGGGCTCTGCCATTGACTGCCCCAAAGAGGTAGACCCTGCCCACTCGGTCCGGGCTCTGCGATGGGTCGCCCCCACAGAGGGAGGCCCTGCCCACCTGCCACAGCCTGCTGGTTGGTGGCCTGTGCCTCCCTCTTTGGGGAGACCATGGCGTCCCCCAAATGATCGATCGACCCACCAGCCGGTGTCCTGGTACTCTTTCTGCAGGGCGATCATGGGGCGATGGCCGGGCCCCTGACCAATTAATCACATTGCACCTGCCTTGGCTTGCCTGGAGCCAGTGGGTGTCATAGCATGGTTGTCCAGAAGGTCATCCGGATGGTCGTTCTGCTGTTCAGTCGTTCGGTCAATTTGCATATTACACTTTTATTATTATAGCCTAGGAGTAGCTAAATGGAGATATTCTTACTCAGTTCTATAGTTTCTTTGTTTATTAACTAGAATAACTTAAAACACTTTTGAAACATGGTGGAGAGACTCTTTTTTCATTTAAGTAAATGTGAAAAGAGTAATAATGACCTTAAAGTCTAGATATTGAATTTAAATGTCTCATGGTATCTGAGTAAGTTCTCCTGTGTGTAAATAGTATTTTAAAAAGCTTCTTAAGAAATTTTATGATTTCCAAATTCACTCTGATTATGTTTTTTAAGAAATGCTAATGTGCTAATTATAACATAATACTTTTAAAATTTTCATTATTTTAATAGGAACGAGGGGGTATAATGTCACTCACGGAGGTGTACTGTTTAGTAAACCGAGCTCGAGGAATGGAAGTAAGCATAGAATATTTAGATTTCTTTTTTTAAAAACTAAATATAGACTTTCTTAATATAATACAAAGTTCCCTACAGTGAATACAATTTGAGGAAGGGTTGTGACTATCAAAACTATTTTGAGAAAAAGTATGGTGCAGTGAAAGAATACGACTCTGTGATCCAGGAGGTAGATTCTGTTCCTGGTTTTGCTGAGTGAACTTGAGTAGCTTACTTATCCTCTCAAACTGTTTTTCTACCCTTTCTACCCTTTGGACTGACTGACAGCTTTCAGCTCTAATAGTCTGTGTGTGTATTGTGATTAATAAATTGGACATGATGCCCTTTCTCTGGGCTAGTTAGCTGTTTGACTTAATTGGGTTGGATACAGAGTGCCTGTAGATAACAGAGGGAAAGCTGCCATGCTCCTTTGGCTGTGAATCAGCTGAGGCTATTTTTCAACTTTCATTGACCCTTCACACCCAGATGTCCTTGGTCTCCAAGGTTCTGTCCTACACTCCTTATGCCTTCACAGTCAAACATAGTTTTGTGGTGTCAACAGTTTGCTCTGTCTTTCCAGCATTCACCCCTGACCCACAAATTAAGCCTATGCTGTTTTTATTTGAATAGTCATAACTGCTATTGGTGAGTGCTTACTCTCCACCAGGCACTCTGCACGTTACCTCATTTATCCTCCCAATAACTCAATGAGGCAGCTACGTTTATTATCCCAATCTTGTGGTAACCTGGGGTGAGGAAATTGAGGCTTAGAAAGATTAAATAATTTTACATAGATTGCACCTGGAGACTGATTTGATAGGGATTTGGACCCAGGCTGGGTTGGCTCCATAGCTGTTCTGTGTGACTCAGAGCTGTGCTTGTCAACCACCACACTGGGCTCCACAGTCTGGAAGGGTAGCAATTAGCTAGCTACATGTGATGACTGTGAACTTAAAATGTAGTGAATCCAAATTGATGTAAGTGTAAATTGGAAGACAGTACAGAATAAAGAAATCTTAAATATCTCATTAAAATTTTTTTATATCGATTTTACAGGGTGGGGCAGAAGTAGGTTTACAGTTGTGAATATGCAAAACGCAGTTTATTCTTATACTAGAGGCCCGGTGCACGAATTCATGCACCAGTGGGGTCCCTCAGCCTGGCCTGTGGGATTGGGCTGAAACTGGCTCTCTGACATCCCCAAAGGGGTCCTGGATTGTGAGAGGGTGCAGGCCAGGCCAAGGGACCCCACCAGTGCACGATCGGGGCTGGGGAAGAACTTGGGGGTTGGCCAGCCGGGGAGGGACTGCAGGAAGGCTCCAGGGCGTGTTCAGCCAGTCTCCCTCTGTCCCGATCGGCCAGACCCCAGCAACAAGGTAACCTACCAGTCGGAGCGTCTGCCCCCTGGTCATCAGTGCACATCATAGCAAGCAGTTGAGCGGCCTTAGCATATCATTAGCATATTATGCTTTGATTGGTTGACCGGTTGACTGGACACTTAGCATATTAGGCTTTTATTATACAGGATTATTATTTATTAATTGTATTATTTTCCATACGAACTGTAAACCTTTTGCCCCACTCTGTATACTGAATTTTTGATCTATTGGGTATATATGTGTTAAAATTAAATTCACCTGTTTCTTTTAATATGGTTACTAGAAAATTTAAAATTATATGTATGACTTACATTCTGTTTCTATTGGCTAGCACTGCTTTAATGAATAGAAGTTTTTGCTTCTTTGTTAATTTTTTGTTTTGTAGTGATTAAGCCACCTAAAATTCTTGATAAATGATAATTTTAAAAATTTCTCTTGTTTTAGTGGTCGTTATAATTATAAAGCGTCACTCTATTAATTTGCAGTGTAAACTGGATTTTTTCCCCCCACTAGTTGCTCTCACCAGAAGATTTAGTGAATGCATGCAAGATGCTGGAAGCTCTGAAATTACCTCTCAGGTAAAAGAATCTCTGCAGGAAGTTTGCCAACTATGGCCACTATTCTGCACTAATTAGACAGGAAAGCCCTGCCAGGTCTGCCATCCTATTGGGTGAGCCAACATTTTGCCCCTCTTGAAATTTTATGTTAACAGAATTCACTTGGCACCACAAGCACCTCTGTCATCCTGGCTTCCATCCTGTGCATGGCCCGAGGGGGGTAGTAATCCAACTCTTGTCGTTTTGGCGCAGTGAGATAAGAATGTGGGCTCTTCCCGTGAGGTCAGGGTAACTAGCTCCTCTTCCCTTAGACTTTGTGTTTGTCTCTGGAGACCCAGAAGTACAAATGTTCAGCTGTGCATTATATATTTTCCTTATCTTCATGGTTAAAAAAAATTAGCCAGTCAGAGATGTATTGCGTAGTGAATAATATTGTAATAACTATGGTGCCAGGTGGGTACCAGAATTATCAGGTGATAACTTCATAAATTATATAGTTCTCTAATCACTACGTTATACATCTGAAACTAATATGAAATAATATTGAATGTCAACTATAACTGGAAAATAAGAAAATTGAAAAAATAAATAGCCAGATATGTATTTTTTTAGTATGTAGATGAGTTTATTCATGAGCTTTATAGTTATGTCATGGTTGCTTGTGATTGTTAAGTTTCAAATGCTATTTTGTGTTAATATTGCCTCATACCTGGGCATAAAAGAAGGTGAATAATATTTGTGCCTCCTTGGTGGTTGAAGGTCCTAGATATTCACAGCTTTGTTCTCCCGCCTGCTGTTTTTAGGCTCCGAGTTTTTGACAGTGGCGTCATGGTAATTGAGCTTCTGTCCCACAAGGAAGAGGAAATGGTGGCCTCAGCCTTGGAGACAGTATGTGAACCCAGTTTCCTCTAGCCATTAGGGCTTGCTGTGAGGACCCAAATGTCTAGCAACTTGAGAAACAGGATTTCCTTTTGAACTTAACTTTACTAAAAAGTAATGTTTGTTGGCCCAGTTAAAAATGGCTTATCATTAACAATGAATAAATATTAATCATAGTTATTCTCTGAAAGCTTTTTTGAAATGTACTAACGCTCAAAACATCTTATAAGAAAGGAGAATTAAAATTAATGAGGTGTTTTCTTTTTGTTTGAAGCTGTCTTGAGAACAGGTTTTTTAACTTTGTTAATCAGAATGTTATCCACGATAGAACTTTTACTCTTAGTAGCAATTATATAAGTAGCATTACAAATATCAAAAGTTGTTTTATGAAATAATTGTTTCAATATGAATAGCAACTGTAGTTGAGATGGATTTTATGGCCAAACTGCTATTACTCATCAGGGTACTTGAACTATTACTACCTTCATAGTCTCTATGGTGAGCCTGTATAATTTGAATAGCTTACATTTATTATACTTTTCAATTTAAACTAGATGAAAATACCTGAGACTATAGGTATTTTGATCACATACTTTAAACTACACCGATATATGAAGGTTCTTTATTGGATTGTGTAATATGAATTCAATTAGAATTTGTTATATGTTCCTTTTCAGAATATCAATTTTTTTTAGACTTTAGTACAGTGCCTTGATTATATTATAGAGGTTTTATGATATTTTAGCCTCTACTTTATTTGGTCCGAGTCCTTCTGCTTTTGTAGAATTAAACATTAGTGAAGACTTAGTTCTATAGTGGGTATGTTTTGGATTTTAGTAGAAAATTCAATAAATTATTTCCTGAGTATAGCTGGTAGAAATTCTTTCTAGGTTAGTACCTAGGTGGTCTAAATTATGACATTTTATTTTGCTGTGTGTTTCTACTAGGTTTCAGAAAAGGGATCCCTAACATCAGAAGAGTTTGCCAAGCTTGTGGGAATGTCTGTCCTACTGGCTAAAGAAAGGTAGGTAAGGTCCTTGTTCTTTGTTACAACTTGTGTTTCTGAATGGACAGGTGATTGTGGTTTTCTCCCTTGATTCCTAGGTTGCTTCTTGCAGAGAAGATGGGCCATCTTTGCCGAGACGACTCAGTGGAAGGCTTGCGGTTTTACCCAAATTTATTTATGACACAGAGCTAAGGGTTTTTTGTATTTGAAATACTTCTTATCCATGTACTTGCATCATGTAGAGGTTGTATGATACTGAGCTAAGGGTAAACTCTGGTAAACTGAGGATTCACTGGAACTGTAAAACCCTTTTAATTTCTTCCTAATATTATGGGGTAGGAAGTTGATTTAGGACCAATATAGGAAAATACAGAAAAATGAATGCCAATGTGAATTTAAAATCATGCTACAGTTATATAGAACCCTCATAGTTTAACTTGAAATATAGTGGATTTTAACTTGGTCATCAAATCGAACCATTTTTAAGAAAGGAATTTAGTTCATGGGAGAAGAAAAAGAGAAGCTGCATGTTGAGACAGGTTAGTTTGTTATTTTGGTGTGACTAAAAGTCACTGAATTATAAATAAGTGAAGTTTTTGTCCAGTCTGGGGGGTTTTTATGAAGCAAGTCCTACATTCAGTGTAGTTTAAGAACCTGACAACATTGGAACAAAATATCAAACTGCGGCGTGCCATAGGAGGCTCCTTCTAAGGGCTTTTATTAGAAACAGTCATAACATGTCTTGTACAGACAAAGCACCTTAAAAAAGGAGAGAATTGTATCTGACTCACATATATATTACCTGACTAGCTTTTTTTTTAAGTGATGATTTCATGCCTGACATTTAAAGTATGCAACTATGTCATTTTGTTTAAAAAATGCTGTGGATCTTGAAACTGAATTAAAGAGCTGTACAGACATGCCCAGAGATATGATTATAAATCTGGGAAGTAACATAAAAGTGGAAAAATAATATGTCTCCTTTTCTTTCCCTTAAGGAGTTTCACACTGAACTTTAAAAATCTTCCTATCATATTCTAGCAATATTTTTTCTTTACCCCACACATAGTTGTGTGGAGAAACTTTCCTGCTAAAAAGTACTGGATAATGCTGAATTTAGATCGCTTGAGTGTTAAAGTGGACTCCCTGACTTTATATGTTCCTGCTGTATAGCATACAATATGCTGGGATTACCTCAAACTCAGGGACCCACAGGCACAAAGGAGACCCTCTATCTGAGACTAAGTCAGAAGTGGAAGGCAGTGATGATTTCTGGCCAAGCCTCCAGAGGGGATAGTATCTGTGCTGAGGGAACCATTGAGACCAGGAGGAGGCAATACCCAGGTTCACACTCTCAGATGTTCTCAGTGAGGTGAGTGCCACTGCCAGAGGCTGCTACATGTGCAGGGATCCTCAGCTGCAGACCCAGGGAATCCCTCCAAGTGCAGCCAGAGTCAGTCCCTGATTCCTCCCAGAAAAGTGGCTGTTGCTGCTTCACATCCTCCAGTGTCTTGGGAATGTTGTGCCTGAGGCATCCTTCCTTACTCTTCATTTTCTAAATCTGTCACTGATTCTAAATTGTGATGACAGATCCCCTAATTCCTTCATTGCTCAGCCTCAGGTTTGTTTTGGGGGAAATTCAATGTCCGGCTGCCCAAGTCTTTCAGGCCATTGTGTAAGCTTGTTTGGACATAACTCCTCTTTGGGCTGCACAGCTAAGATTGAGCTACTGGGATCTTGCTCTAAAGCTGTGGATTCATTACAGCAAACTCACATAATTCAGCATATTTATTTACATTAGTGTGACAACACATTAACAAAAATGGAGCAATCTGAATTGTATACAGTGAACTAAAGAAGCAGTAAAGTGACATGAATATACTATTATTTTGCAAAAAAACAAATGTGATTGCTTTCACTGTTTTCATTATTTTTTTTTGTTCATCTTTATATGAGGATATTTTTTCCATTGATTTTTTTTTTTTTTAGAGAGAGTGGAAGGGAGAGAGGTTTGGGGGGTTGGGGGGAGAGACAGAGACATTGATTGGTTTTCTCTCAAATATGCCCTGAGCAGTCCGGGGATTGAACCTATGACCCTTTGGTGTGTGGGCCGATGCTCTTAATCACTGAGCCAAACCAGCCAGGGCAGCATTGTTTTATTCTTAACATGGGCATTCTTCACATTTTCCAGACCTCAGTAGATATATTTTTCTTTTTTCAAATAAGGTGTTATTTTGGTCCTCTATTAGTAGAGGTTATGTTTAAATACAACCAATCAGGTCCTAAGTGCAAAAAAGTTCTGTCTTGGTGCTTATCACTGGTATAATTATTGTTCTTTCCTAACTTTACTCTTAGGAGCATTAATCTATTGGTAGCTTTATGGTAATGGAATATTTCTAGTCACATACTGTCCAAAATTTTTTTACATTTTACGAGTGAAGATTGTTTTTTGGGTTAAATGATCGGTATTAATGTATATAGAATAAAGTTATTGCAAAATTTAAAAAATGATTTTTCTTAACTTAGTATCTTTTAAATACTCTTTGGAAAATATCTGAAAATCATAAACCTTTAATCAGAATAAGCCGGTATGTTACAATTTGTTCTTTTAGATTTGTAATCAAGAGTTGATTATCAATATTTTTTACCTCAAGCTCTTACTATTTTAGTTCTTTTAAAAGAATGGCAAATGGCTCATGAACTTTTTAAAAAAAATTCTTGATGTGAATTCCACTGTTGATTGACCAGGTGTATTCATGTGAATGCACTATATCTTGTTCCCTGTCACCAGACTAATATGGCCAGATGTGGATTCATCATGTCATTATTCTCATGCTCATCATCTACTTAAAATGATTCTCCTTTGCCCAATAATCTCAGAGTTTTCATCTTGGAGTAGTAGAGTCATATCTTATAGGGTGGTTAGATTTTAAAGACTGTACCTAAGTATGAAATCGAACATGCTCAAAATGATCCTTGAAAATCTCTTAAATGCCAATAAAGTTCTACGTATAGTCTTACATTAGAATCCCTGTAGTGATACTTGGGTATGAGTATTTTATGAATATGGTAAGTACAATATATAATAAAAACTACATATCAGCAGTAGACTTTTATAGCACCAATAATTAAACTGTTTAAATGTGTTTGTCTCTTTTTTTTGCTGCTAGGTATGGTTGAATTTATGTAAATTTATTGCTAATCCCATCCCTTTTGATAGATCTAGAGTATTAGCTCCACAAGAGCAGAGATTTTGATCTGGTATGTTCATGGACATAGCCTCAGAGTCTAGAACAGGGCCTGGCACACAGTAAGCACTCAATAAATATTTATTAAATGAACGAACTCTGATGCATTTACCTATTAAAATTTGGCTTCACTTTACCCTACTTTATCTCCCACTCAATTCAATTAAGAAAACATTTTTTCATACATACCAATTTAGTGTGAGGAACTTTGTGGGCCACTGGTGGTGGTGGTGGTGGGATACAAAAGTGAGTAGGATAGAGCTCTTGCCCTTAAGAGGGTGGCCTACTTGGGGAAATGGATGTGAGTAAACTTAATTGAGGATGGAATGAAGTACGTGCCATGGAAGGGGCAAAGGTACCATGCGGTGAAAGACAGAGGAAGGAGCTCTTAGCTCTCAAGGGGGAATCTGAGAAGGCCTGTGGGAGAGGAAGAGCTTGGTAAACTAGGCTCACAGGGACCAAGTAATCAGCTGTGGGTGAAAGGTCAAGAAACAGCATGAGGTGTGCCCCTTCCTAGTTCTGGGATGCATTTCCCTTGTCTGTACAAACTTCTTTTATTACTTCTTCTCACTCACTTCCCCACCCCCATTCTCAATCATGTGCTCTCAAAAAATTTGTTTCCAGTACACAACTCTACTATTTCTAAATTCCATAAGAGTTGTCTGCCCAATATACTTGACTATATTTTGTATTGTTCTCTAATTATTTTAATGCCCTAAGAAAATAGAGAAATCGGGTTTCTTTAAGTTCAAGGACTATCATATAACACTTCTTTTGAATTCCCACTGGTCTAAGTCAGTAATTGTACATGGTATTGTCCTAAGTAAAATATTAACTGAACTGAGTGATTTTTGGATTATAATGTGTTGACTTGCAAACTTAACCCTTTGCGGTCGTATTAAATTTGGACATGGGTGTCGTACTGGTCAGAATTAATTTCCATTGAAAGAGCAGTGATACATAACATGCAAGATTATGAAGGATAAACAAGATTTATTAATTCTTTTTTGGAACTACGTCACTACTAGTAGAATCACTACAAACGTTATCTATCTCTACGTCAGAGTCAGTATTCAAGGTGCCAAAATAAAACTCTTCATCGTTACTTTCAGATTCGCAGTACACTTCTTTCGATAACTTTCTTTTTGCCATTTTGGAGTATTATTTTGAAATATCTTAACAAGTGAGAATGCCTAATTACAGTTAAATGTAATTTGTAAAGCTTTATTTGAAATTCTGCAAAGTATCTCCGAAGCTTGTCGATTTCTTCACTCTCAAAAGGCAACTGACTCGCCACGGTGTTTTGCATGGCAAGTGTGGAACGACCGTGTTTGTTTATATTGAGTTTCGATATCTCCGATTTGTCGGGGCAATGTTTTGGTTCGTGACAAGGTCGCTTAGACACTTAAGAGCTTTCAGAGAAATTATGAACTGATACATGAATGAATAGAGTTAAAATTCATATGGTTCCTTGCTGTGGTGGCTGAGAGCAGACATACGACCGGAATGGTAAAAAAGCTTTGGTGGCTGAGAGTAGACAAACGACCCCAAAGGGCTAAATCTTCATCCTTTACCCAGTTCCCAAGAGGCTTCTCAGCCAGCCTTGTCAGGGCTCAGCCTATCTGAGACACACTCTGTCTTATTCAATTTTTATAATATGGACCATATCCATGATGCAGGAGCACTCCAGAAAAGTCAGGTTAACACACATGTAAGATCTAGTTATTACACAGAAAATTGGGTCATTTGTGTTCTTCCTTGTGTCCTGATAATCATGAACTAGTTCAACCTTTTCTCTTAGTATTACCTAGGGCAAGAAAAGACCTCTCTGTATAAATTGATGTTATTGAGACAGTGAATAAATTTTACACAATTTGCACAAGATCATTAGAGCAGTTGCTGACCTTGAAAGAGAACTGAATATATCTTGATAGCCAGCTTGTTTTAGTTCATATCACTGACAAGACCACTGTTCTTTAGAAAGCTTTTTTTTTTCTTTAATGTCTGTGGCGCCTTCTTTTATTTTTGTTAATCCTCACCAGAGGATATTTTTTCCTTTGATTTTTAGAGAGAGTGGAAGGGAGGGAGTGGGGAGAGAGAAAGAAACAAAAATGAGAAAGACACATCAATTGGTTGCCTCCCAACATGCCCTAGCCGAGGGGCCGGGGATTGAACCTGCAACCCAGGTATGCTCCCTTGACTGGAAATTGAACCCATGACCCTTCAGTTCATGGGCCAACACTCTAACCACTGAACTGCACTGGTCAGGGCTATGTTGCCTTCTTTTATAAAAGCTTAAACTATCTTAACTGTCCAATAAAGACAGTAATACAGCTTGGCAAGGATTTTTATTAAGGCAAAAATGACGGACGCACAGTGATTCAGCCGTTTGCATCTGGATTTAGGTCCTTCCACTTCTCAAGAGTGGGTCTCTAAGGGAGGGTGTGTGTCTGAAAGATTAATGCAAAGTGCTTTCTACATGTTTCACTCAAGACACCAAGAAACTTCAATGGAACTAATACTGTATGCCTTTTACAGTGGAGGAAAGGAGGCATTGTCATTTGCCCAAGGTTACAGAGGCTAGTCTTTCCATTGAGCTTTTTGCTTTTAAAGCTGAAAATGCCAGGGTCCTTGGCATGTAGTTAGTTGAAAAGAAATTCCAACTTGAGTTGAATGGATATTGGACTAGTTAATTTTACTGGGAGTGAAAATGAATGATGGCCTTAAAGCCTTTTTTGAAACTTTGGGTTTAGTATTGCTAGAATTAGTTATTTGACAAGATAAGTACTTAACAAATTTGGTATCTCTGACAACCTTTGATAATTCTGATAATTGTGCTACCTTTTAAAGACTAAGTGATGGATTCAAGGATGTATTTTAAGAGTTTTAAGAATTGAGGTAAAATTCACGGTGAAATGCAGACCTTAAATTGAGTAAGTTTTGATAAATGCATAATCCGTGTAACACACACTCCAACCAGTAGAATTTATCTGTTATCCCCAAAAGTTCCCGGGTGCCTCTTTCCAATCACCTGCTCCGAGAGGCCACCAGTATGCTGTGATTTCTATTACCATATTAGTTTTGTCTGTTAAAGAAAACCAAATGGCCGGGACCGGTTTGGCTCAGTGGATAGAGCATCGGCCTGCGGACTGAAGGGTCCCGGGTTCGATTCCGGTCAGGGGCATGTACCTGGGTTGCGGGCACTTCCCCAGTGGGGGATGTGCAGGAGGCAGCTGATCGATGTTTCTCTCTCATCGATGTTTCTAACTCTCTATCTCTCTCCCTTCCTCTCTGTAAACAATCAATAAAATATATTAAAAAAAAATAAAGAAAACCAAATGGTAAACGGTGTTGCACATCATAGTGTACTCAAAAACAACCATAACTTGAACAAGGTGGAAGTCTATCCTCTTAAAAAGATCTTAACCTGCAGATCATAGTTTTTAAAATGTGAATTTAAAATTAATTAAATAACCAACCCTGGCTCCTGAGAAAGAAAAACAAATTCACCTTACCTGAACTGTTTTCTTTTAAAACTCTTCCATAACATCTGGGAAACCAAGTATTTTGGGAAACCATGTTTACAACCCACCAGTTAGTCACTTCAATGGCTTACTTTGTGCTCCCCCAGAAGAAAACGGCCCGGGAGAGAAGTGACTAAATCTGAAAAGTCAGGAGACTGCTGGCTCGCCCTTAAAGCCCGGGTCCCACCTGCGGGCTAAGGGTGTGTGCATTGGCGGGGTCTGGGCCCCCTCCTGCTGGCCCCGGCGGTCCGCGCGCGTTTCCTGGGGGGTTTCCTGTTCCCAGCGGGGCGCAGGCAGGAAAGGATGCGCCG